ATTTATTTAAATAAAGTTTAATATTATATTTAAATTAGAAAATCTTTTCACTAGTTTATTAATTATGAAAAAATTATGAAAAATTATTATATTATTTTATATTAGATGAATTATATTAAAATATTATAATTTGTTTTAAAGGTACTTTTATTTTAAATAATGAATCTACTAGATTTAATTTATTTAAATAATATTAAATTATAAAATTATATATAAAATATATATATAATTAAATTTAATAGTTATTTTATTTTAGCTATTTTATAAAGATATAAAAATTTTAATAACCTAATAAAACTTTTTTATTTTTTATAATTCTTTAAGATATTACTACTAATATTTAGATAAATAAATAATTAAAAATAATTCTTAATATAGAATTATATATCAGATTTTAATATTATTAAATTTTTAAAATTAGAATATAATAGAATAATATATGTTTTAATTACATACTTCAGAAATTAAGATAAAATCTTTATTATATCTTATTTTGAAATATTAATTTCTTTTTCAATCTTTAATTCAAATTAAAATATCTTACTAAAGATATTTTTCTAAAAATATTAAAAAATCTTAGAATATTATTTTTTTATAGTTAAATTATATAGATTTAGGTTTTTTATTATTTTTTATTTTTCTTAATAAAAAGATTAAAAGTAAAGTAATTAATAAATAATTTTTAATATTTTAAATATAGAAATATTAGAATTCTAGAAAAGTTTTTATTTTATAATAAAAATAAAATATTGATTATAATAGAATATCTTTAATTAATTTGAAATCTATAGAGATCTTATTACTAATATAATATAATTTTAAAATTCTATTTAATTTTAATAAAAGATATATTTACTTAACTTAATATATTATTTAATTTTTTATAAATATTTTAATTCTTAATATAAATATATTATATTTATTTAATGATTCTTTAAAGATATTAGAACATTATTTAAATTAAATATATAAAAAAGATCTACAATATTATTAAATATTATATAAATATTATTCTAAAATACTACTAAAGTCTTGTTAATTTAAATAACATAATAAAATATTTAAAATATTTATAATAAGTTCAGAAAATAGTTTTTATTTATTATTTAACTTAATTTAAATATAATAATACATATTTTAGCTATTAATTTGAAGGAATATTATAACTTATTATTTTATCTAAAATCTTTAATATTGGAGATAAAGAATATCAACTTTTGATTAATATTTTATTAAGGCTTTTATAATTTATATATAACTATAAACTCTTATTTTTTTAAATATAAAGAGAATTAAGGCTCCAGCTGGGTTTTTTAAATAATTAAATCTAGTTTAATCATAAATTCTCATTAATATAGTTTAAAATATTTATAATTGAGTTTAGCATAATAGTAAGTTAAGCTATGTCTTAGAATTTTCTTCTTTTTAAGAATTAATAAAATAATTTAAAGATTTATAATTAAGGAGTCATTATAATTACTATTTCAAAACATTTTATAAAAGTTTTGTAGCTTATAATAAAAACTTATTAAATTATTATTATTTTTAATCTTTATACTTTTTCTACAAATTTAATTATTATATAAATATTTAAAAATACTAAGTCTTATAAAGTTATAAAGTAAAAAACTTATAATCTATAATTTATATTATTAGTAATAATTCTAAAAGAATAAATAAATATAAAAATCGATTAATATAATTATAATAAAATAAAACTATTCTAAAAATTTAGATATTTTCTTAATTATTAGATAATTATAAATGAATAATTATTGAATCTTCCTCAAATCTCTAGTAGTAATAGAAATCTTTATATATTATAAGTAAAAGTTTAAAAATAGTTAATAGTAGTAAATAAGAGGACTAAAAAGTAAACTTAATAAGACTTTAGATATTTCATAATTTAATAATTAATAATATCTACCTTAGTATAGAAATTAAACTCTATGTATATTTTAGTAATATATTATAAAGTAATAGAAATATAAAATATATAAAATTATTTATATTAGTAACTATATTATTATTATTATCAAGATTATTAATTACAGAGCTATAATTACTTAATATAAACTAGTTAAAATTAGTTATATTATATAATTTCTTAATAAACTTTATCTTAGTAAATTTTATTAAAATTATAGAAAATTCCTTAATAAGTATTTTCTTTTATTTAATTTATTAATTTATTAGAATCTTAATTTACTAGATAATATTAATTATTATATTTAAAATAATACAGAATTTTATTCTTAGTATTTATTTTAGTTTAGAATAGTTTTAATAACTTTTTATATTCTTCTTTTTATAGTTCCAAGTTTTAAAATTTTTATTTAAGATTAAAAAAAAACTTTAATTGTCTCTTCTATTTTCTATTTAAAATATAAATTTAATAATAAATTACAAAAAAAATTTTATTTTAAGTTTTAAAATTTTTTATAATATATTTATAAATATATTCATTAAATTCTAGTAGTAGTTTAGAAAGAAGATTAAAAATTTATCTTTTTTTTTTACTTAAAAAATTATTTTGATATATCTAGATATATATAAACTTTTTATAGAATTTGTTTCTTCTATTAATAAGTATAATTAAGTTCTTTTATTATATTTGATTATAGGGTACCAGTATTTTAAATAAAATTTATTTATTAAATAAAATAAATTTATAATCTCTTTCTTTTCTACTATTAATTTAATAATTTTTTTAATTATTAAAATTATTCTTATTTATATAAAAAATTAAAATTAGTTACTCTAATAAGAATCTTCTAATATTTAAATTTATATTTTTTTTATATTTTTTTATATTTTTTTAAATATATGTTTTAAATTATAAATCTACTTTATCTATTATTATAGATTAAATTAAAGAATAAAAATAGAGATCTTTTTTAACTTAATCTTTTTGATTAATAAGATAAAATTCTTATACTAATAAAACTAATCTAGTAATATTTTTATTATATTATATTTAATTTAAAGAAGATAAAGTTATTTTTCAAATTTTCAAATTATTTTAATTATTAAATACTAAATTTGTGTAAGGAAGGAATAATAGGATTTATTTAAAACAATAGCCAGTCAGCTAATATTACCTATAATTCCTGATTTAGGCCTGAATTAGGTTATTATAGATCTATTAACCCTAATTAAGTAATTAATTATCTGAGATAGGCTTATAAGATTATCTAATTCTTATAACTATTCCTCTTTTTTGTAAGTAGGGTTTCTGTAAATATATAACTACTAAAGCCCCCGTGAAAAAGGTTTTATATAGTATCTGATTAGCTAAGGCCTTCTATAAAAGATCTTATACTAGTTTTAATCCTTATTTAGGGTCTTTCCTACCCTTAAATTATTATAATTAATTTTCTTAATTAATTTAACCTGATTTAATTCTTTTCAGTAAGTAAAACTAAGTTAAGCCTAATTAGACTTAATTACTAAGTAAAAAATTACCTAGTTTTATTAAGAATTTAACTTCTCTGTGGATCGAATCCTTAATCAGATTAATTATAAGTAAAACTGTAAGGAAGAAACAATAGGATTTATTTAAAATAATAGCTAGTCAGTTAATATTACCTATAATCTCTAATTCAGGCCTGAATCAGGCTATTATAGATTTATTAACCCTAATTAAGTAATTAATTACCTGAGGTAGGCTTATAAGATTATCTGATTTTTATAACTATTTTTTTTTCTTATAAGTAGAGTTTTTATAAGTATATGACTACTAAAGTCCTTGTAAAAAAGATTTTATATAATATTTGATTAGCTAAGGCCTTCTGTAAAAGGTTTTATATTAGCTTTAATTCTTATTTAAGGTCTTTTCCACCCCTAAATTGTTATAATTAATTTTCTTAATTAGTTTAGCCTAATCTAATCCTTTTTAGTAAATAAAACTAGGCTAAGCCTAATTAGACTTAATTACTAAGTAAAAGATTATCTAGTTTTATTAAGAATTTAACCTCTCCGCGGATCGAATCCTTAACTAGATTAATTATAGGTAAAACTGTAAGAAAGGAATAATAGGATTTATTTAAAATAATAACTAATTAGTTAATATTACCTATAATCCCTGATTCAGGCCTGAATTAGGCTATTATGGACCTATTAACCCTAATTAAATAATTGACTGCCTGAGGCAGGCTTGTAAGATCACCTGATCCTTACAATTTAATTTTATTTCTTACTTTTACTATAAAAATAATTTTTTAAATGAATATAAGAGAATTACTTTACTTTATAATTATAAATAAATTAATAGAAGATATAGTACTTCTTTCAGATAATTTTAAAAAAAATTAAAAATTATTAATATTTACTATAATAGAGTAGAAAGCTGAGAATTTAATAAAAAAAAATTAGTTTTTTATTCTAAGATTTATTTTTAGAAATCTTATATTTTTGAAGATATAATAATCTAGTTTTATCTATTATTAAAAAAAGGGAGTTAGCTATAAATAATATAAATAAATAGATTAAAAGCTTCCTAAATTAGTAGAGACTGGAGATACTGCGTACAGCTACCCCAGGTATTATACAACAGCCTCTCACATCTTACAGCACCTATATCTACTGCAGATATTAGGTAGAGAGATTAGGCCGAAAGGCCTTCGGTCACCCGAGGGTGATACCAAGCTAGACTTACATAATAAACTCTTTAATTATAACTAAATGAAATCTATATCTTGAAATTATTTAAGTTAGTTGAAAAACCATATTTTTGACAAATAGTCTGAGGTACACTAATGCTTAGCCAGTAAAAAGCTTTATCAAGTTAATTGGAAACTAAGTTACTAAGCTTTAAACTAAACCTATTTAGGATATATCTTTTTTACTCAATATCAGTGACGTGAGTACCTTGTTCATAATACAGTGATATGCGAGAATATTTTTGATCATATTATCCATGGACATATGCGGAATCCATAGGCGACGCATTGGTAAGTAATATCTTAATTTTTATACCTTATCCCGCACCTGCGGTACCGCCCTTTTTTCTCATATATTAATCCCAACTACTTTGGTCTTTGGTTACCTAGTAATCGCTATGGATGATGATGCCGGCGACAAACTTAAATCCGGACCTATAAACAAAGACAGCAACAAGAAGCATTTCTTGTTAAACCATGCCGAATCAACCACAGGCCATTATGATGGCAATAATATCCCTTACAAAGCGATCATTGAACCGTTCACCCAATTCATTGCATCTGCCAGTAATGAAGCACTCCTAGGTGTTTTTGCATGTGTCACCATAATTACTACCAAAATTTTAGGAAGACTTGGCTTCTTGCTAATCGGGATTATCGTTGGCTTTGCCCTGCATGCTTCATGTGGGAGCATAGTCAACGATACTATCGGGGACATATCAAGGAAGCACAAGTTCAAGAAGAGAGAACTCTGCCCAGCATTAGCAGACCGACTGCCTGGTTGGAGAGACTTCACCTTCCACAGCAATGGTCATAAACCGAATGAGAACGAGACACTAGTTGAGAATGTGCATTCAATTGATCCTGATTTCCGCTCATTCGGACCGAAAACAGCAGATGCTTTAAAGTCAATCACGGACCAGATTCTCCGAGACTATGTCGAGTAAGGCCTTGTCTGTCTATCACCATTCCGAGCTTACCCTTCCATGATGTAGGCATTGGTCCAAGTCAGTGTTGCCTTCTGAGTCAAATTTCACCCTTTCTTGTCGGAAAGTCTTGGTCAGTTTCGTGACAAGATTGGGGTGGCATATTTGTCGCAAACGGCCGGCTGACTTGTTCCTGGAGCTTCTTGTTAACTCCAGCTCCCTAATAATTGTGTTCTTGAATGAGTTGGCTACGGCATTCAATTCAGCTGGTTCTTCTGATTCACCTGAGAGACTCATTTCACGTTATATCGACCATCATCCAGAGAGCAATCTGGCGAATCTTTTGGGAAAGGAGCAGCAGCGAAAGAAGATTTCCCTGGTAGCTGACGATCTTCTGTCTGGATATCTCGATTCGAACATTTATGATTGCTTCTTGGTCAGGGATTTCCTTAGCGATGTACTCTCCAGCATTCTCTCCGAATCCGCCGTCTCTGTACTTTCGCGGCCAGAGACTATCAATGGGTGCATCATACAACTTCTCGGGGAAAGGGACCACGAAATAATGAATGCGCTAGATATAGGCGTTGGAGAAGCCACTGAACATGCCGTGGCAGAGATGAATAAAACCAGCTCAACGGTGATATCCGATCCTACTTCAAAGTTTCTCGCCGATAACACCATTCCTATGCGAACTACTGGGTCAGCTGTTGCCTGCCTAAAAGCGAAGGCAAATATGCATGCCGAATCCTCGCAAACCACTAGGCCGGCTGAACCATCGCAGACGCAAGAATCTGTTCAACTTTCACTCAATCATGGCTGTAACGAAGCTCCATCTCACAGAGATGCATTAGACTCCCCGCCCCAAGTCGACCCTTACAAACAATCGTCTTGCCCACGAGAAGAACAAGACACAACTATGGAAACATTGGAAAACAAGAAATCAGCGCATAATCCGGTACAGGCTTTGCCCTCTCCGTCTGAACATACAACATCGCAACCCTGGGGTTCATCACCTAGTACAATGCTATACCGTGCTTTTGTAACCGTCGATCTCAACCTGGATTCCGGAGGAAGTGGACCATTCCGCTACAAGCCAGCCTGCGACTGCTTGCTTCAAATTGAACCATACTCCGCCCGTTCTACCGGCTGGATGGTGTTTAGGAAATATGCAGACTTTGAAACTCTTCACAGGACTCTGGAGACAATCTCGAGATTGAACAAAATCCATGAATTCTCAGAAGAATATCCAGTTGTACCTTCGTGGAAAGCTCAGACAAGGCAAGGTCTAGCGCAGGGCCTACAGAAATATCTTCGTTCTGCCCTGCAACACGAACCCTTGGCCGAATGTGAAAAAATGAAGTCTTTCCTTGACAAAGACGGTAGCATGGGCACTGGTTCGACTGCTGCAGCAACAAAGACAGGACTGTCCTTCCCGGTTCAAAATACTCTTGAGTCGGTGGGGAACAGTGTCCTTGGCGTGTTTGCCAATGCGCCTAAGGGAGTTTCGGGATGTAGCAAAGCTGTTTTTGAAGGAATGACCGGCGTGTTTGGGGCAGGCGGTGCTAAAGAGCCTGCTTCCAACAATGATATTAGCGAATCCAATCTCGAGCTCGTCCCGAATTCAGAGGCCGATCAGGAATTTGTGGCCGGTCATGGTTGCTTGACTCAGCATGCGAATGCCGGCATGTCGAATCATTCTGCAAAGCTATTTCATGCTGTGGACGAATCGCTATCGTTCCAACCACGCGCCAAGAGACTCTCTGCCGAAGTTGTTGAGACGCCAGGAAGTGTATCGCCTTCTGTGTCCCGTGAAGTCGCAGCCAGTGCAGAACACTTCGGACATGAGGCTTTTATCGCATCTGTGGCTTCGAAAATGGAACATGGCTCCGCAGACCTTCGGCAGTCTTTGTCTTCCCAAGAGACATCGAACGTAGCTGCTGACCGAAGCGACTGCCGGATATCACAGGCCGACGGACAGGATAAAGTGACAGAGGATAATCCTATTACACAGGAGGAAGCTCAGATGGCCGTGGAACTTATATTTGCAGTGATCAATGAGCTTTATACCTTGTCGTCTGCCTGGAATATTCGCCGAACTCTACTCAGTGCCGCAAAGTCCTATCTCTTGCGTCCAGGAAACCCGAAGTTGGAGATCATTCGCGGCTTATTTCAAGATTCCTTGATTGACACCCATGTTTCTGACGAAGCAATCGGTTCTTATCTCAACAAGTTTCGTGAGAGCGCTCTTCCCACGAGAGTTGAGATCAGAAGCAGGAGTGGTCCTGTAGGCGAGCCTGAGAAAGAACGCTTGAAAGAGACTGCGCGGGGGCTTTTTGTCGAAAAGGGTTTATCGCAAACTTTGACTGGAATCATGGGAGCTGCTGCTAGTAAGGAAGCCTTGGGCAAAGTCTTTGACTGTCTTCAAGTTGAATTCGTCGCACAAGGCCTCATGTCTTCCCTGTTGTTACAAATGATGAAGGCGGTTATCCTCTAGCTATCTAATTTACAAGTACATGACAGAACGATGCTCAAATCCCCCCTCAAACCATAAACAATGAGAATTTCCTCTTACTGACCAAAGCTATTACCCTCCTGGTAGTGTTCTGGCCCAAAGCTCAGGGCTCCCGGAGCGAGTATCACAGTTGTTAATGGCAAAATATTTTAAATCTCGCAGTCTGAGGCTCAATAGTATAAGTTTGAAATTATTTGAGCTACTCATCTCTCTTAGTCCTACTACTTGGTCGAATTGACTATTCCGCGAACCTATGTATGTGTATGATAGGATGGGCAGAGGTATTATGTTTTCTAATCAATAGAGGGTTTAGAGAAATACCTTTGAGAAATTGTGCTATTACTACTAATATTATTGGGATAATCATTTATGAAATTAATTTATTGATTCAGTATTCAGTATACTATAAGTAATCCAAAACTTAACTATATCCTGTTTACCTTCAGTTATGTCAAGGTATGGGCTGGTGGGGGCAGTAGAAATAGCAGTTCAGACTAGTGGGTCTTAATAGTTTTCTTAATTCTTATCTAAATACTTAGATTAGGCTATTTTAGCTATAACTAAAATGTAATTTAAAGAACTATAATAAGATCAGAAATAGTTCAGAAAACTAGATAAATTATATAATATATATAGAATAGTTAAGACTAACAGTATATATCAATATCTACTATAACAGAGTAGAAGACTGGGGATTAGATAAAAAAGGTTTTCTATTATAAAATTAATTCTTGGAAATCTTATGTTCTTTAAAATATAATAATTTAATTATATATATTACTAAAAAGAAGAATTAGTTATAAATAATGAAAATAAATAAAAAAATATTTATTAAATTAATAAAAATTAGAAATACTAAAAATAATTATTTTATATATTATATAATAACTATAATTTTCTATTAAATTGATTTATCTAAATTATAAAATAAATAGATAAAATTATTTATCTTTTAAGTTAGATATATACTACTATTATAAATATAAATAAAATAATTAAATAATTAAAAAAATATAATTTAAAAAGAATCAGTAATAAATATATATATATATATATTATATTTCAATAATTTCCTAATTAGACTGTAATAAAACCTAAAAATATAAATCAAAAATTTATATATATTATTATATTCTTTTTTTATAATTTCTTTTTATTTTTTAGTTTCTTTTTATTATATTTTAATAATATTTTTTTATTTCATGATATTTTATCTTCTTTTATAATTTATTATTTGTATATTTATTTTATTATTTTACTTTTATTTATTTATAATATAATATTTATTATATATAACTATTTTTTTATTAATATGTTTTTAATTCTAAAAATTAATCTTGATATATATTATTTATATAATAGAATTAAGATTTATAATCTAAGCTATTTTAAAACTTCAAATTAAAATAAATTTATAATATTATTATATTAATAATTTATAACAAGTATTTTAGTAAAAACTAAATTTATAATAGAATGTATTTTAAATATATTTAATAATACTTTAATTAATAAAAATTAAACTTTGATTGAAGTATTAAATAATATAATTAATCTAATTACCATTTTGAAATATACTAAGAAGATTTTTATAATATATATAAATAAATAAAAAACTAGAATAAAATATTTTAATTATAAATTAAAAAATTGATAGTCTATTTAATTATTATATTTTAGATTATTAAACTAATAAATAAATATAAATATAATTTTATTATTTTATTTAAAATAAATTTAAATAGTATAAATCTCTATAAAATTATCAATAAAAATTAATCAACTTTACATAATTATACTTAACCCTTTACAAAAAGCTTTTAAAAAATTATTTAATATTAATTTGATTTTACTATATTTATTTTCTAGTAATAAAAATATATTCTATAAATTAATACTAAATAATTTTTTTAAAAGTTTTTTGTAAAGGATTAAGACTATTCATAATAATATAAATAAATTTTATGGTAAATATTTGTTTAATATTTATAATATTTAGTTTTTTCATAAATACATATTAGAATTTAGTCTTATCACAGATTTAGGATTATTTTTAAAAAAATGATTCATATTTAAAAGTAGATATAATATAATTCAAAAAGTAGTTTAATAATAGTATTAAAATTATTTTAATAATTAAACTTATTATTATAAATTAAATGTTCTATATTATTTAATAATTTTTTTTAATAAATTTAGTTAATTTATTAAATATTACTCATTAAAGTTTTTAATATTTATTTATTATATCTATTAAACTTATTTTTTATTTAATTAAAATCAATTATTTATTTCTTAATTATTATTTATTTTTAATATTTTTATTTTTATATGTTCTTTATTCTCTAGATTAGAAAGATTTAATTTTTTTAATTGAATTTAAATTATTCTCTATTATTTTAATAAGAAAAAATAGAATACATTATAAATTTAGTTATGCTTTTTAAATGAAATTAATTAATATACTTAAAATCTAATAATATCTAATAATATCTAATATTTTTAATAATTTGATATATTTTAATATTAATTTTTATATCAAAAATCAATATTTATATGAAATATCTTTTCTAAATCCTATAAATTAATAATTCTAATATAACATTTTATTTGATTTTTAATTATTTTATATTAATATTTTTTTAACTTTTTATAAAACTATTTACATTTTAATATTTGAACTTTTATTATAAGAATCTTTTCTAGATAAATATTACTTTTAAGATAAAAATAAAGAACTTAGGAATGGTTAATTATAATATCAAAAATAAATAATATATAATAAAATTAGAAGTACTATTATTAATAAATTAAATAAAAAATAAAACAAATCAATTTTAGTAGTTTTTTCAAATAAAATATTAAAAATATCATTTAAAAATTTAGTCAATTAATTTAATTTAGTTATTATCTTATAACTAAAATATCATAAATAATCTAAATTTAATTTATATATAATAAACTATTTTCAACTAGATTTTAGTAGTAAATATAAAGTTTTTCTTAGAAATAATATTATCTAAAAATATAATTTATAAATTCAATTTTTTAAAGAAAGTATAATTAAATTTACAAATATAATCATATAAAAAAATTAAAAATTAATATTATTTTATAAATTTATTAATTATAATAGAATTAAAATAAAGAAATCTTTCCTTTTTTGAAATTAGAAATAATTCTATAGTAAATCTATTAATAATTTAATAAAGAATAAATTTAAAAAAGAAAATAACTTTATATTATTATATAATTTATATTTTATAGATATAGCATCTTAGTATATAAGATATTTTATAATATAAAAAAAGATAATGTTATGAAGATTTATTTAATAAAACTTATATTTTAATAATATGTTAATTTCAATCAGATTAAAAGATTTTATAATTCTATTAATATAATATAAACTAAATAATGATTTTTATAGTTTTTCCTAATATATAACAATAATTCTTATAATATACTAGGTTTTTTTTAATTTATAATCTAATATTTATAATTTAATAAATCTTTGCGTATAATAAGTTTTAATAGTCTATTTTAAAATTATTCTATTAAAATTATTTAATTAAAATTTACAAATGTTTATTAATTATAGATAATATAAGATTTTTATTATTAAATATTTAGAATCCTACTAAGACTTTAATATATTGATTATAAATTAACCTAATATTAATAATTTAGTTCATTAATTTGAAATTAATTTTTTATAAATATTTTAATCTTTTATAAATATTTTAATTTTTGAGAATTTATTATGATATAGTTATTAAGCCTAAGATTTCTTATATAGATATTTCATTATATTTAAACCAAAATTTCTTTTTAATGAATTTATTAATTATTAGAAATCCTTATATTGTTTAATATTAGGTTAATATTATTACTAATATTTAAATAAATAAATGATGATGAATAATTTTTAATATAAAATTAAATATTAGATCTTAATATTATAAATATTTAAAAATTAAAGTATAATAAAATTATATATACCTTAATTATGATTAACATAAAACTTTTATCCTAACTTATTTTTTTAAAATTAGTTATAATATAATTTTTAAACTAAACTAACATATTTTAATAAAGATATTTCTTTAAAATTCTTTAAAAATCTTAAAATATCATTAATTCTTTATAAAACCAAATTATCTAAGCTTAAATGTTTTCCATTTTTTATGCTTTTTTAAAGAAATTAAAAATAAATTATTTATGAGAATTATAAAAATTCAAAAAGATTTATACTTTATAATTAAAAAAAAGTATTAATTATAGTAAAATATTACAATCTATTAAAATTCTATAGAGATTTTATTAACTAATATAATAAAATAAAGAAAGTCTATTTAATTTTAATAAAATATATATATTTATTAATGCTTTAAAAATATGAAGATATTTTATAAATAAATTATACCGAAAAAGCCAGGATGTTTTTAAATATTATATAAATATTATTTGAAAATATTATTAAAATATTAGTTAATTTAAATAAAAGCACTAAATTCTAAAAATATTTATTATAAATCTAGAAAATAGCTTTTTATTTATTATGTAACTTAATTTAAATATAATAATACATGTCCTTAATATTAATTTCTTAAAGAATTATAATTTTATAATCTTATTAAAAATATCTAATACTATATATAAAGAATAATAATTTCAAATTAATATTTTATTTGAATTTTTATATTTTTTAAATTATAAAGATAATCAGTACTTTGTTTACTTTTCTTAATAATTAAATCTAATTTAATTATAGATTTATATTAATGAAATTTCTTAAGAGTTATAATTTAATTTAAAGTAATAAGTAAATTGATAATATTTTATTAATATTCTAGGATATATCTATATATAAACTATACTAATAGTATCTTTCATTTTCTGTAATATAATTTAATAAGAAGTCTTTTCTTGCAAATATGTTTATAGATACTCTGTTTTTTTCTTTATTTCATGTTATAAAT